TTTTTTTTGTGGCAATAAAATTATAAATATAAATTTAGAAATTAAATGTTAAACGAATTTATTGATTTACACATTTGTGAGCAAAAAACTTGAATAACGTAATAAGATATTTAATTTCGGATCTAATTATTATTATTGTCGTTTCAATATAGATCCGACATTTAACCGTAACCCCATCGAATAACCTTAATCCAGTTTCTTCTGTCCGCAAGAAATAGCCCCGACACAGAAATAGAACGCGAAAAAAAAAAGCACGAGAACATTTGCAACCTGAATTCGCGAGACACGTACTCCACCTGTCTATATACCGAATAATCAAATATGCAAGACGAGGAACGTAACAATCTTTTCCCAGAGACGAAAAGAGAGCAGCAGACTGCCGGCCGAATCCAATATTGTCTTTCCCGAAACGAGTCGGATTTCCCTTATAAATCTCTATATATATACATATCCGCGGTAACCGCCAACGACTCACGGTGTTGCACCTTCGAAAGGAATAAAAAATGAATTTCGAACGACACCGTCGAGGCGGAAGAAGAATAACCGAAAGGGGTTACGTTGGAGGAGGAGGAGGAGGAGAAAAGGGACACGTGCGTTTACTTTAGCGCGAAGCCATGTCAAATGGGACATTTTGCGACGAGGAGGAGAGGTTTTGAAAAGANNGGAGGAGAGAGAGAGAGAGAGAGAGAAGGAGGGAGAGGAAAGAAAAATTCCACGGGGAAAACAGGTCGGGGAAAGCTGGAACGAAACGAAGGGGGAGAGGGGAGGGGAGAAGAGGTAGATGGAAAAAGGCAGCGAAACATTTCTTCCTACTTAAATTTGCACGAGCGAGCAGAGCAAAGAGGGTTTTCCATCCAGAGCCCCTCTCATTCCGTTCCTCTGTTTCCTCTCTTTTTTAATATCTCCGCCCTGTGTCTCTCGCGTTCCTCTTCCTTTCCTTTATTCGTTGGTTAAGTAGTTTTCGCTACTTCTGTCCCATTCCCAAGCGTGTCCTTTGAGAATAAGTCGTAATGTCGCCGTAAGGATAATATTGAACGAGAAACAAAGTCTAATTGGAAGGTATGGTGGTTAAACGATGGACTGATTTTTTTCGGATCGATGAAAGAATTTTTGAAACGCAGTTAAAATTAGTTTTGTAGAGAGTGTTTGATTTTGCAACTCAGATTAGAGATAAATTTTGTATTTTGTTCGTTACGTGCAAAAATTATTAAGTCTCTGTGGATAAACATTGATCGATGGTTTTCGTTAACAATCCGGGCAAAATTTTATTTTATTTTACTTTTTTTTCATCCTTGAATTTTTACTTTTTGTCGAAGCACAATTGCATGACAAATATAAATATCAATTCTCAAATAAAATCGTCAAATATATTCATACTTCAAATATACAGTGGTGAAAATAGAAAAAGTTCTTAATTATAGCTATAAAATTTTATATTGATGTGATAAAAAAATTCCAGAAGTATAGGATCCAGTTTATCACTTTAAAAATCACATTTTAAAAAATTGAAAATATGTTACCCCTTTTTATTTCTTCATCATTGATATTCAAGAATAAGATTATTGTAATTACACGAAGAAAAAACTACGATTAAATATCAAAAATTCTTCATGATATAACGAAATCCACTATGTCCAAGTTTCCACTGCGCGGGTGTCGTTCCACTGTATGGCGCGCCATGTCTGACCGGGCACGGTTTTATTGTACTTGTCCGGAGATACGCTGACCCGTTCTACTTGTCGCGCGCAGTCGAACGCGCGATTTTCCATTGTGCTCGAAGGTGTTTAATGGTTTGTTCTACTTGTCGACCGGCATGCCGTGCCGCGCTTTTGTTCCGTTTAAGGGCGCTTCCAGCTGTGACGTGTTTTTACTGACGATCGTGGAGGAATTGAATGTTGAAAGTTGAAGTTAAATTGTTGAGATTCCAATTTTGAAATGAGAAAAATATTTGGAAAATGAAAGACGAAATTTTTGAAAAATTTAGGGAAAAAAATTAAATATTGGGATTATAATTCGATGTTTTGTAACTTGATATGTTTGTAGTAAGATTTAAAAGGGAGAAGGATTATTAAAGATATTCGGAAGAGAGGTTAAGATACGTTTATAATATATACAAAGGGAAATTACACGTTGGAAACTGGACGAGGATGTAGGAAAAAAGCATAAAATACTTTATGACGTTGTTAATTAAACTTCATATTAAATTTCACTTCGCCTTTCTCGCTTTTACCTTATGATGTAATAAAAGAAGAACTTATTTAATTTCGTTTATGATATACGGGCTGTAATGATTTTTAATATATTTAAATGAAATTTGTTTCGCGAATTTTGTAATATAAATAACAACGTGTAATAAAATTTTAATTAACTAACTTTAAAATTA